AAACCAATTTATGGCCCGAAAATCGACCCCTTAGCTCTTTTTCGATTTCTCAACAACTATGACGAATTGGACGTACTTCCACTCATGACGTGAACAACGATTGAACACTCTACATCTTATGCTCAAGCTTTAAAGAATTTGAACTACGCTTCACCAAGGTATTGCTCGTCAAAATGTGAAATTTGAGGATATCAGTTCATGGCCTTTAGCCTTGAATCCCTATATGCTTCGAATTAGTGGGATACGTAATTCAATTGTTGTTCTGAAACATATTTACTAGAGATTATATGCAATTAAATAAATTTAGTCATAGAGGGCAATTCTGTGATATTGGGCAATTTACTGGTTTTTTCCGTTAAAGTACGTATTATAATAATGCGTAGTACTCCGGAGTAGTATGCAGCTACAGGCAACACTATTCCCTAGCGTTACTGTATACCGCTACCGAATATTATTATTAATAGTATTTATTGTCCATCACCAAGGACGAAAAACTCGAACTCGGTGCAAAACCGCATTATGCCGGCACGGGAGTACAATAAAATTCAGTAACGTTAGTATTAATAATACTGCGGAACGATTAACCGATGGATTTGGTGAATCAGAACAAAATCCATATTTTGGCTGAATGCTCAATAGTAGTCAACGTTCCCTTCTACTACGTAGTAGTTAGTGTGACTACTATGTGCTTTCTTGAAGTCCAAATGCGTGGACTGGTAGCTAGCTTCGAGTGGCGTCGCCGGTACATATATATATTGGCTTTACAGGTTCAACAACGCCGACGATACGTTGTCAATTGTTATATTTTCATTCAACATACTATTAGTATTACTACGTTGGATCATCACACTACTAACGCACACATATACTTGCACTTTTCAAACAGGGCTAGCGTGAGTCCGGTGAGTGGCGCTTGGAAAGCTACACGGGCGCTGACTCCTTTCCACAATCCTAGCATCCCTTCTTCCCTATACCAACCATATCATCCACCAACGTCAATGGCACAAAAGAATAAATATGATATTAATATATATATATATATACTAGTACAAGAATATACATTTTGGAAACGATTGAATCCAAGGCATGTCGAGAATATATATATATATAAGCATAGATAGAATCGTACAACGCAACTCGATGCAAGCCTTGGAAGGTATTCACGTAGCGGGCTGTAGCTGGTTGTTGCATTCGATCAATCTAGTATGATAAAATGTTATTATACCTGCACACAAGTTGTACAGATGAACACCTACCTGGAGACGAAGTTTCACTAAATCGAGGGGATTTGTGACTAGTGATGCACCGGCGCTCGCAGACACGGAGCTACACATACCGACACGATGTTCTTAAACGGAGGGAATAGCCAAACTTGTGTTTGTTGTTACCATGCCAAGAGCGAGGTAAATGGCACGTTGTCAGTTGTGCCATGGAATGCTTCCGCGAGGGCTTTGTTCTAATACCGAGGGAAAGAACGCTCGACGGTCAATAGCCATCCCACGATAGGATGGTTACTTTTTCGTAAAAGAGGAAGAAAAACGCGGAAAAGGGACCAAACGACCACATCGTGGCGCCGTAGCCTACATACAGTAAGGTCACTAAACGGAGGGATTTGTTAAGGCAAACCTCGATATAAGCCTCGGAGGCCTTCGGTTCGAGCAATTGTTTGCCACGCATCGACAGTGTTCTTATAAAAAACACCGCCGCCAGCCCTCGATTGCACTTGCATGCGTTCCTTTATCACATCAATGGGCACCTATCGCAATAAAAACCCATAAATTTACTTAAATATTGTAGTATATAATAAGCATACAACGATATATTGTCTTTAAATCGATTCGAAACCCGAGCCTAAGCCAATCAAATCAGGTTCTGGTGAATTTCTGCTAATCCCATCGCATTGGGCAAAACCACATGTATACGAATCATTGTATAGTTTGTACAAGACTAAAATCGGATCAAATGGATTCGGATGCTATTTGGCGAAATGACACTCTCAAGTCCAAATTTGGGTGAAATGCACAATATCAAAACAAAAAACATTCGAAAATCAAACATTACCCAAAACACGCAGCTCAGGGCCTCGGCCATGATGCCAGCCGAGAACGACGTCAAGAACAAGTTCGATTTGAACAACGGATACGCTTCTAGCCACTTTTTGCTTTGCTAGGGGAATTAGAAGTGGTCAGCTAGGCATTCGGGATGGAATCAAGTTAACGTACGTCGTATGACGTAAGGTATAGGCACGTGGCAGGTGCAGAGCCCAGCAGGATGACGCCAAACCCTCGGTATAGTCCTCGCACACCTTCCTTTCTACGAGCACACGATTGAGTACTCACATATCGACGATGTGGCTATTGTGTGTGTACTGAAAGTTCGACTGAAGCACGTGGTACGAGTTGCGGTACGCCGTCTGCCCGGCTACCTGGAGGTTCGCTTTGGCGACGTCCAATGGATGACAGGCGACCCGTGCAAGAATGCCAGCCACGGCGCTTCCCTACCTGCAATGGTTATACACTAGACGGGTGGTGGGGGTACTCCAACCAGCATGGTTGCCGCGACGGACACCTCGCCGTCCTGAGCAGGTGGCGCCATGCTCCTTCGCCGACCTTCGACAACGAAAATGAGCGGCCGATTTGTACCACTATTTATTACCTTGTTCAAGTACTTGAGTAGTTAATTCCTAAATTTATTGTGCTTTTCATGTATTGTGCTTTGCACCTTTTTTGGCAATTCCAGGGTTAAATGCATTGTTTAAAATTTTCTCAGGCTTAAATAATGTCTAAAGTAACTTGAATAACGGTTGGGTGCGTTGTTTAAAGTTACTTCATCTAATGCGATGATTGGTTGGTTGAAGGTGGTTTTACTGGCACTTTCGTAAAACAAGTTGTTTGCCGTTTTCATTCTGGCAAACAACTTGCTTTACGTCAACATGTCAAGGTGCTTGACGCAATGAAACTGAAGGAGCTATGGCCAAATACATGACCTCCCATCCGTGATCACTACAGTACTAACATTATCTACTCCGAGTAATGTGTATAACGTTAGGGATATAGTCAGGCTACAGTACATGTAGTCGTCGCTCTGTCCAATGATTCAAAGCTATGCCATACCTACAATTCTTGATCTGCTCTAACCTTAGCACTGTACGTGGAAGGCAAGGGCGCACTACGACTACACGATGTATAGTACCCCCATTTCACAGCCTAATACGGTATGCATCGTGATGAACTGGTGGTTGTA